AATGATAACTATCAAAACGCCTGCCATTTGGAATAAATAAGTAGGACCTTGTGGCATTAGTCTTGAGAATAAGTAAAGAAGAACGTTGGCTTAAATTCCTATATTTTCTGCATTTCGTTCACACACTGGGGATGCTTCTTACTAATTCTCGAGGGATCTTCTGATTTTCTAAAGCTATAACTGATAACAGCTCTGTTGGCCCTTCTGAGTGGCCTTCAAGAAAATGAAGCCTTCACCTAAACTTTAAATTTCCACCATACGTCCACATTTACATCGAGAGTTGTGGCTTAACTACATAAAACGCATCTATTCCATTTTCTATAATTTTTCAGACCGAAATAGTCTTAACATTTACCACCAGATACCAGGAACAAAATCATGTTTAGAACATTAACCTTCTTAAAACCGTGTGAAATCGATTTGATTCCTTAAAGATGAGAAGGAAATGCGAATTAAAGAACCGGCGCAGGTAGAGGGGAACTTCGATAAAGCCGTAAGTGTGGGTTTGATATTTGAGAAAAAATTGCACCAACGATTCCAATCCAATTCTTGAAATCTTGATTTCGGAAAACAAATTATCCATGTTACTAAAGTCTACCCAATCACATTACAGAAAAAGTAATGAAGAAATTTGACTTAAATTTCAGTATTTTCTGCATTTCATTCCATTATCCTTAAATCACACCTTCTTACTAAATCTTGGATGATCTTCTGATTTTCAATGGCTAAAATCGATAATTTTAAAGTAAAAAATCCGGTTTTATTAATCGAAGTACGTACAGAGTGTTTTACTAATTAGACACCCCTTCTCTCTCTTCTACTGTATCAGGTCTAAAAATCGCATCTTATAATGTTTCAACTCCAAGGAGTATTCGATATAGTTCGGACACCTAGACACTAATACTTTGCTCTTTCTACTTCTATTGTCAAAGAAATTACGACAAGTGACAACGTAAATACATACATTGGCCATGGAAGCAGCAATCAACGTTACCTCCCTCTGACAAATTGACGCCCCCAATTTAATATTTTTAATTAATTGAAAATTGAAAGATAAACATCTTCAAGCTTAAGTTGTGGCTTGTAAATACACCTAAATCAATAATAATTTGTTAAGGTGGTCTTTACAGCCAGACCACAGCTTCTTCAATTATTGATTAGCAGATAATTGCTCAAATTACGAGTCGAAATAGGCATAGCATAAAAGGCTTTGATAAACTTAGAAAAAAACATTAAGTCAAATTGCATTTTGAGAAAAATGACTCACATATTTCCGGACAAGGTAAAATCCGTAATTTGACTGATCGGGCACTGGTATCACAAAGCAGTTCATTTGCTTCCTGAAGACTCAACACCGCCGCGTTTCTTCCATTTATCGTTTCAATAAGATCTCCGACTTGTAAGGCTCCGCATCTAGAGATTGAAATATTCCAAAATATACTAATTCCAATGGACGGAGAATGTGTTTTAAATAGGGGTAAAAAATAAGGATCAATAACCTGTCCGCGATACTGCCATCTAGAATATGACTAATCAGGAGGCGGGTTTTTCCTTGCAAATTCTCGCCAAATGCAGCTAAATGCGCCCCCAATCGTTCAGTTGGCAATTTATCGATTTCAATCTCGAATGGCCCAGATCCTTGTCGACCTTCAGCTTAAGTATGAGTATAGCAAAATGTAAAAATGTAAACCATAGAACTTTTAGAGGAGCATGTTATGGATGGTTCTAACCTCCGATATCGGCCACGTCATATTCAATAAATAAGGATATTCCACTTCTATGACAGACAAGGAGTTTCATGGATTCTTCACAAGTAAGACCTCGTGTTTGAACGCCATCAATCGCAAGGATTCGATCACCCTGCTTTAAGCACCCATTTCTGTCAAATTTGAAAAGCACAAGGTTTCCAAGTGTTTTTTTCTCATTACGTTTTTAATTAAATTACAGTAATGTGCTTTTAAACAGGATCCGTGACAGTTTTGACTGCCAAAGCTGTTTGCAAAGCATTGCTCTGCACTCACTTTTCGGCACAACTTCTGGGTCTTATTCGACAAATCGTCAAAGGGAACGCTCCACTTCCCCGACTGGAGAGCCCTCCACGAACAGTTATGCCAAAGGATTCGTTCACAGGTTCTAGGTGAATGAATGCGCGCTTGGTGACCGTCGATTTGACTGAAATACAAAAAATAAACCACCTCAAAGTACATTCGTCTGGGGTGGGGGGTGGGCGAATTTTCCAAGGGGGAATTTAACATGCTTAAATTAGCGATAAATGTCACGTAGTTGCTTAGTTTGCAGAACAATGGCATTTTTAAATGTATGACAGTCTGCAAAGTGATTTTATGACGTCTGATCAATTTTTGTTTCTTTTTCATATTATGACTCCGAGAATTCCATTTTTTTAAATTCTATTTTAGTTCAACGTTAATGGAAAATATTTTGATAGGAGCTCGATAATCAGAGCCTACCATTAAAATCAATAAATCAATTATTGCCTTATAAAGCTTCCATAACCTACTATTGGACCTGTGAAGTTACCACAAGTTCACTAACTCAATAAAGACGCTGAAATGGGTTAATGGTGCATTTTAGTAATAAATCGTGTAGCGCATCATTTATGCTACGTAGCCTATTCGAACACAATTGCAAATTTTAGAAATAAGCAAAATAAATTGTTGGAGATTTTTTCTTGAATAAAAATTGCTAATTTTATCTTACAATTGTGAAAGCTAATAATTTATAAATAATTTATTACTCTTCATTTTGAGTGAGCGTATTAGATGAGGAAATAGCCTCGATCTGCAGGTGGGGTGCCCATAGGCGAATGTGCTACGCTGAGGGAAGTCTTGTCGGAATTTCGTAGGCGCTCCGACACGCCTAGCAGTCCTTTTTGATGAAGAACAAAATGCTGTTTTTAAGGGGCTGATGGTGTCGTTAAATTGACTAAAGACTGACAAGGGAAAGTGTGTGCGCACTAACAATGAGATAAATGATACCACTGCACACAATAGCGAAGGCCAACATGTGATCAAGTCAGAAATAAAGAGATGATCGCTGTAACAACATCGGCGTTCTTCATAGCTTAAGATCACTGGAGCTGGTGGTGGAGAGATCATGAACCGTTTTAATAAGTATCCCACATTTTCATCAATGTGCTACCACTTCTCCGCTTAACGTTTGCCCGGAAAAATGGTACTCATTTCCGTGGTGTTCAAGTGGTCAAATAGATTATATTTCCCACAAATTAAAATTAATCATTTTTCATTTTGCCAGCATAAGAACTTGAACAATCCGCCACACAAAGTCAAAGGCACCCAACGCCCGAACTTTGGGGTGCTAATCATATGTCGCCTATCGCCACATTCGTTGTGATTAACTCTTGAAGAAGTATGGACAGCATAGAAAACACCATTGACTCCTGACTGATTCAACATACGCGCCATTCGTCCACCCTCAGTATTTCTGATGTGTTTCTACAAAACGTTTCCCCGTGGATCTTGTGCTTTCTCTTCCCAACATTGAAAATTAGTTGATTGGGGGAGCAATAATGGAACAACCAGGGGCCTTAGTGGCATGTACAACTTTTTAAAGTGAATTCTCCATCAAATCTCAATCACCTGAACACGAATACTACTTCCATAAATTATCCTCGCTAAGTTCTTGGATCGTCTTGGTGCACCTACCCGACTACCAACTCCTTAATTTCTAAGACGAAGAGGCAACAAAGAGGACGTTGAAGACTCCCGACAGTAACAGGAGGCGAACCCTCTAAACCCTCTGATGTGACGGTTATTCCCCATTCAGTTGTTTAAGAACAATAAAAAAAACACCGAAGTTTCTATTCCCATATTGGTTTCATCATGGAAAGGTGGTAATAATTTTTTTTATTGTTCATTACATTCGCCCTAAAAGCTCGTGTTTGGTGTAATATTGCAGATAAAAATCAAGACGATAAAATGGTCCCCGTTTCAATGGAATTTGCAAGAACAAAGCCACCACATCCAAACGGTGTCTATTATTCGTAAATAGGAGCAAAATCATCGCAGACTTTATGATGGAGTAATTTGGCTTTTTATTTTCAAAAAAAGTGGTGTGCGAGCGACTTTTTGAAATACCGCGACGAAGAAGGTCTGATGGAGATTCTGCTGTGACTTTAACTTACTAACGATTCTATTAAACAGGATTCTTAAAACTTGCCTCAATTGACAGTGATTTTCAAGACAGGGACAACAATATATATTGATTTTTATTAATTGTATTTTAGTTCAATTAAAACAATCGATGAGGAGACCGTTTACAGTCTATTTTTACTTACCTCATTTGTTTTAACTCTGCTTGCAACAAATCTACATTAATTGAGTAAAATTTTAACGGCTCTTTCATTTCTGATGCTTTTGTTGTAAAAGAAGTGCACTAATTTAATATACTCCAAGCAAATCTGCAAAATGCCACAGATTTTTAATTGCATTTGTTTATATCTCATAAAGTTGCTTTCCAACGTCATTTCGACAGAAGCAGTTGAAGTTGAAAGTGGGATAATTTGCTACATTCAAGTCAATCGAACTCAAGTCTGACAGAGTTCTGAAACACTCCCCACATTCACAAAGAGAACATTTTAAAGTGATGCTACCTCAATTCGGTCAGTCTCATTGGTGCTTTAAGTTGAGGTTTTCATGCTATAGGCAATCAGCACAATTTTTTGCAAAGAATGTAAATTGACGAGTTTTCTCTGTGGTCACTAAGAGTTCATTTAAACAAAATCACTGACACACTACAGTACATCTTAATAGGAAGAATGAATGTCTCTCGATGCACACATATTATAGAAAACGGCACTTCATTTGATTGTATCTTGTTATAAAAGTTAATGCGAATCAATTCAATTTGAAGAATAAATACTGATGGTTAATGAGATTGACGAACAATAGATTAGTTGTGATTACCCCTAATTGCAAAAAATCGTCACGTTGAAAGAGGAACTACATCTTAAAAAAGAACAATTCTTGTCTTGGTTATAAGTGTAGCAATTAGACTATTTTTGAGTTGAAAAATCAGTAGGAAATGCTATTAGAAATCTTAATATTGAGAAGTCTGACATTTCCTGAAGCACTCTTATGAAAATGCATGTAGCGAGCATTTAGTGCCCGGATTGCAATTCATCAAGTTGTTGACTTCTTGACTGTTTAATCAGTTGATTAAAATTCAAAATTGAAATCATCAAGCTTTCAACCTCTATAAGGATAACTGTAATTCTCACATCGTCGGTTCACAAAATTAGAAATTAGTAGGTCTTGGAATGGTTTGGGAATTGTTAGCCAACAATGACATGGTGATACTGATAGATAAATTTACATAGTTGCATGTGAAGTAAAGACGACTTAACCCGGTTGGAAACTGAAGGAATCAAGCTGCGAATCTAATACATTTAATTTAATTTATTGGGAATTTTCCCATGGATTGTGACTTATATGCCAACCCATAATCCGTAACCGGTATTAAGTATGCTTGATAATAGAACTCATAAAAGGCTGGGGTAATTCTAGAATTTCAATTTGAAGACACCTTGTCAATTTTCCTTTCACAAATTAAACGAGCAAAACCGCTTTACACTTGATAAGGTCTTAATTATTCTCTTTCAGGAACTTTTGAATCTGCATTTGTCAGGAGAAAGCAAAGATGAAACTGTTGGGAAAAATTGTGACCATAAGATAGATCAACGACACCGCCCAGTGAATGGTTTGAAGCATCAGGCGCATGTAAATATAAAATTTTAAAAAGTAAAATTCGGCCTTCTGACTTAAATTTGAATAATTGTCTAGCATTATGAACTCCACGTAGACACGAGTTAGGCCGTGGAAGAGAGTTTGAATTCAATATTAGTGCATTCTATCAGTTTACTGCTTCTATGCAAGTTTTCAATGCCGTACTTCCCTTGGAATACTGTAAATCCGACATTCGATGCCCTTCAAATTGTTGCAGATCTTACTTTTTACTTATTTCATTTTTAACATGAACGAAAGGCTGTCCCATAAACCACTTTCATACTTTTTAGCAATTCATAAAGACAACAGCTAAGCCTATTTCATCTCTCCAACTCGCGAACCTTCTTTGAAGTGGCCATCTGTTAAGAATCATTTGTCTATTTGAATGACGACTGCAAATTTTCTCTCTTCCGGTTAAGGGCAATCAGCTACTTTCAACTCCAGTGTCAGATATTACGCTGCTTCCGGCTCGGCTATCAAAATGCACTCTTGAGGAGGTGAAATTGAATTTCAATGACTAACAAATTTTCAATTCAACTAGCACAAATCTATAGACTCCAGTATTTTGAATTTACAAAACTCTTGGGTGGTGACTGGGTTCTTTCATGCATAAGCGAATATCTGAGCGATAAAGCCAAATATAGACGCACCAGAATCCGTAAGTACATATTCTAATCCTAGGCGTATGGAGGTGTCGGAACATTTCGTTAGCTTGACAATTTGCTCGTATGTCAGGTTTGTGGTTGAGGAACCATTTATTGATTTTATGATATCATTTACCATTAAGCAATCACTCCTGAAATGATAAAAAGAGTATTGACTCAAGATTATCAGTTTTTTAAAGTTAATTCAGTCTGTAATAGGACACACTTATCGGCAATTGATCCTGGCTTGATTCCAGTGATCCTTGGAGGGTATCCCCGATCAGCTCCCCCTGAGATTGTCAAACCCAGAGTGGAGTGCTTCTGCTTGTGAAGATTCACCTCTATACTTCCATACATTGTTCCTAAAATACCAAACGTATATGCTACTTAACAAAATATGAGTAGAATTTAAATTTAAGCGGAAAATATATTCACTCTTTTTCTCATACAAGGGACATCTAACTAAATATATCTTTTGAAGGGATTCGGTCCATATCTAAGTCAATTTAATTTCCATTTTCTCTACCATAGCAGTAGACAGCACTGTTATCGATCAAGATTGTTAATATCTCGTTAAACTTATTTTCAGAAAGCAAGTCCAAAGATCAATTGGGCAGACTTTTCCTTACTTAATTAATAACAAACAATAATAAATTTTACCGAAAAAAATTAATTCAATCTCTTCCCATCTTTACTTAATCCATTAAGTCTGGTAGTTAAGTTATCACAAGATAGTTAGAGGTTCGCCATTTTCAGCATTCTGGCTGGCATTCGAATCAAAAGTTGGACGCGCCTAGTTTATTGAATGAGATGGTAAAATCGATATACACTTTTTCTTCTTTTTCTTCGATTTTAGATGCGAATAAATTATGGTTGATTAAGTAGCAGGCCAAGTGGGTTTGAACATCAATGGTGGGAGAGACAGACATGAATGGGTCCTAAAAATAGCTGGTGCATATCATCTACTGACAAATAATGTCCGCCTGTTTGTTTCCCTTCCTTAAGTGACACCCATTTCACCATAAATACACCTTATGTTATTTCGTAAATTAAATATACTAATTACTGCGTTATTCTAATCATGTGTCTTGTTTAAATACTGCACTGCAAATTTTCTTGGACCACAATTAAAATGAAAGCATGTGAACGGCCTGTAGCCGACTCCATTTGTACTTGTTATGGAATAATTTACAGTTAAAGGATTTGCGAGCTTTCGAAACCGAGGACAATAGAGTTTTTGTAGAGGCAAAGCCTCTTTTTCCAATGAATTGAATAAAAATCTGACTGCTCAAGTAAGGGACAAAACTGAGCATTAATTCATTTAATCTATTCAATCAACAGGAAATGATGAGATTAGAACTTTTACAAAGTACAAATCTGCCAATGTGGACTAGTACTGGAGTGTACAGAACTAAAAGTACATTAACTTTGAGCTTTATTTCTCATTCACGTCGCATCAGCGAATCCTTCGGCAGCTTAGAGGTCATTTATAAAGTCAGCGGGGTGTGAGTCGTCAATTTTCACGAACACGTTCCCTCACATTACATCAATTTTTTCAACCTTAATGGTACAAAATGGGGTGTGCGATAGACTTACCTCCACGTGGTGCACCCTGGGCAACGCATACTCATACGGCAAAAAAGTCTATTAACCGGCAATTGACTTCTGACTCCAAACTACCACGACCCCCCTGGTTGTCATATTCAACCCCTTCCACAGCACTCATCTTGCCTTTTTCTCTACCTTTGTGTCTGTCTGTCTGTCTCTTTTACATCTGTGAATCGCTCTTCTGCTCCCCTTCCTCGACTTTCTGCTGCTTTGAGGACCCTTCCCTCTGTGAAGCCCGAAGTCAACTAAAGGGCTAATAATAGCTATCAAAACGCCTGCCATTTGAAATAAATAAATAAATATTGGCCGAAATTAATCCGTGTGACTAGCGCGACCCCAACCACTCATCGAGTGTGGACTATATTTGGCGCGATCTCTAACCACTTCAGTTGCAGTACGAATTAATTATAGGCATTATTTCGATGTCATTCAATACTGTTAACAGCCTTAATCAATCTAGCCAAGGCAATTTTACCCGAAACTAAGTAGTCTGCCTATTTGGCCGATCTGTTATGGTGCTCCTATGTCGCAGTGATCAGCTTGCACTTTTGCTATAAAGCGATCACGAGATCAATGCCAGTGGGTTTACATCCGATAATGTGGGGTTGGTCAACCGCGCTGGTTAATTGTAGTCAAAAGGAGGAATGAAAGAATGCGAATTTCTCAAAAGAGGTGGACGTACAACTGAATTCCTTCTGTTCACGCCAAGTGCTGTTAAAGTCTTCTCTTAGCAGATTTTGGGAGATCTGCTTCCCTTGTAGGTTTCGTAAAAGCTAACTTTCTTTGACCGTTAAAAGCACAAAATCCATCTCCACTTCACATTCTTTCAAATGCATTTCTTGCTCGTTCATTCAATGCTGGTTTGACTGAATCTCTTTCTATTCCTAGACTCAGAAGGTCAGGTTTGCCAAATCTTATTTAACAGCACATCCACCTTATGTTCACTTCATTATGGTCTTGGGCATTATTGTGTTCTTCGTTGTCCAGTTGCTTCGTTTTTACTGTTGTTCAAATGTTGATTGGTTCAACTGCACTTTGTCCTTTCTTGTGTCCTTAAATCATATGTAGCCACTCCGAGGGTCACGACTCTCTGCTTCGGTCGAATGGAACTGGTAGTGATGGCTTGTTTGGGCGCCAAACCGCCTATCAGAAGTAAAGCATAGCGTCTAAGTCAACAACTCCTTATTTTTTGCTTGCATACTACTTATTTCGCACATCAGTAGCGTAACAATAATCCGGATTAATGCTCCCTTGTGTTTTAGCGTTGCGGAAGTCAACTCGAAACCCAGGTTAGTGCCGTAAGATAAACCAGTCTTAAATAATTCATTTTTTTATTGAGTGTTATCAATTCCATTAAATTGTAGTCATTATCCAACAATGGACGAATTGGCTGAAATGTTGACCACTGTCGTTGATTATTTCAAGTAGGTTATTAAGAATTTGTCGAATAATTTGACTGTCCTTTAGAATTGACCAATTCATTGGATTTGGAATGGGAGCTGGATCAAATATCTTGGCTCGTTATGCGGTAAGTTGTCGGAATGGGCTAACTCTAGCTATTTATAGCTCCATCACCCAGAGCATGTATGGGCTCTGTTCTTGCTCAATCCAAATGGATCAACACATGGCTATTATGAGTGGTTCCATAATCGTTGGTCGGATCTTCCCAGTCTTCAACGCGGTATCTTTACCGATACACTATTGGCTCAACTCGAAGCTCATTGGTTTGGATATGTAAGTAATATATATATATATATATATATATAT